GCCTTGCTGGGTAATATTGGCGTTAGAGCTACAGTGGCAAAATTATGACAGCAACCATATATGGCCACAAGATTATGTCCGACCCTTTAAGAAAAAGTCTGCAACCTTTGAACTATAGAATATTTTATACCACCAAAATTTTATTTCCAAGACTTCCCAGTTAAGCTTTTTTAGGACAAAAAAAAGGAACTTTATGAACTGAGATGATGACAATTCAAAATGGTATGTGCTTGCACTCTTGTTTTTGCTGTGATAAAGTCAGGCTGCTTGGCATTTATGCTAACTGCTATGCTGTTCAGTTGTCACTTCTCTACCATGGATGCCTGTTTCATACTCTCACTTGGGCTGCTTACTCCTCTGCTACCGCTCAATTTCCCAGGATGCTTCTCAAGCCTGTATTTTCACTGGTCTCCTTTCCCTTTTCTCTTTCCACTACCTCTACTAATGGTTTTCATGCACTCTGGATTTGGTGAAAGTACCAGGAGCTTTGATTATCCTGCTTCCATCTTATACATTATTATTTAACAATTCTGTAGTTGTAGCTTATTAAAAAAACTTTAGTGTTTTGTACTTTAATATTTGTTTAAATTTATTCACATATAAAGTTCTTGCTTATGATCCTTCTTGCATCTTAGTCTTTCTCTTTGGGTTTAATTTGTTTCCTCCAGAAGCGCATCCAGCTCTTCACCTGTTACTCAAGGGCACTGACCACTTCTGGGCTTGGAGCAGCCGTGGATCAGCTTCTACCTTTTGCAACAAATACTCTCTTGCTCATGTTAGGAAGTGCTTTCTTCAATTCTATCCTGTCTGTTTTCTGTGTCTCAAGGATTCATTGTAATTTCTTGTCTAATAAATAGTGATTCCTTCTTATGGTCCAAACCAAGTATTGATGCATTCATTTTAAAAACATCTTTTCTGTGATGGGGAAAAAAGATACACTGGCTTGTGCTCAGACCTCAGTCCTGAAGTGCAAGTCCCACATGTGTTGTTTTCTACATTACTAGCTTGCCAATTAAAAATCAGCCCTAATAGCTTTTACATACAGAAACAGACATGTTCAATTTCTAATAACTGTTTCTGACAGTAATTCTGAAGGACAAAAAGTAGAAAGATCATGGACTCTTGAGCCATAATCTTGATTTCATTGTATTCTGATTGACGTCAGGTAGTTAAGCTCCCTGAGAAAAATGATTTCCTTATCCATAAAATGGAGATGAACATATCTATGTATTTGGGTTGATAAAAATTAAAGGAGAGTATATATACAGTGCTTAATATATATTAGATTTCTCACAGATGTTAGTTTCTTCTTTTGCTATATGGATAATCAAGAATTAAATGTTTTAAATTCCTTCTTACATCACAAAATTCATATTCTATTGCATTAAATTTAAAAGAATAGTCCAATAAGTATTATAGTTTAATTTCAAATATTCTATCAATCTTATTTCTGTTGTGATCTGCCACCCCCCACTCCCATTAGTTGTGATCATACTGAGTTCTTAAATTTCTTTTTATTGTTTTGGCTTTTTTCCTATGCTAATGACATACCAGCTGGGTATTATACTAAAAACATCAATGGATCTGGTAAACTTCTAAATACTTTAAAAATGAATTTATAATAATCCATAAGGATTCTACTTTTGATAAAAAGAGTATAACCAGATTTCATAATACAAACATTAATTTTAATGTAAAAAAAAGGCACTGGAACAGTCTCATTTTAGCAACTATAGTTTTTTTTTAATCCTCACCTGAGGACATTTTCCCATTTTTTGTTCAGATAGAATGGGAGGGAGAGAGAGAGAGAGAAACATCGACGTGAAAGGGACACATCGAGTGGCTGCCACCGCAAGACCAACCAGGGCCGGGGACAAACTGCAACCGAGGGTTGCGCCCTTAGTGGGAACATAACCCGGGTCTCTCTGGACCACAGGCTGACGCTCTAACCGCTGAGCCAAACCAGCCAGGGCAGCAACTATAGATTTTTAAAAGAACACAATCAATTTCTAAAAAAAAATGACTAACAAAACTATACGGTATTCATTAAAGAAGCCTATGCAACAATAAAATGAAAGTAATTTTGAAAAAGAACTAAATTTTATTAGATTGTTTTCATAAAAGTTAAAAAATATCATCTAAAAACAAAAATCAGCTCTATATGGTTAAAACCAAAGAACAATATTACAGACACTAGAGTAAAAGAAACTATAAGTTAATTAAAAGTTAGACACCTCAACTTAAAACCAGTACTTTAGCAACAGAGTAAATATTTATAGAGACCTTTCTGGGATAACACTCTAGGGCCTAATGTACATGCAAATTAAGCCAGCAGACTGTCCTTTAACAATGGAATTGTCTCAATGACCTGAAGTGTATTTTGGGAATAAGGGATAAAGAATAATGAATGGTTCAGATCCTCTCTAGCATATGAATAATTGTCTTATTTTGTCTGTCCTACAGGAAAGAGAAGCATATCGGAAAGAAATACAGTTTGGATCCATAGTTTGAGATATGGCCTAAAAGAGCACGTTCATGGGGCATCTCCTTTAGGAAATGCCAGAGCCCAAGGACCTAAGCTAAAAAGGATCCCATGGTTCTTATTTTCAGAGAAGAACACCCTTGGCGAGGTAAAAAAGGTCATTTGGGGGGGGGGGGGGGGAGTAATTTCTTTTGTTTTTCATTGAGACAGCTGACATGTAACACTACTAGTTTAAGGTGCACACCATAATGGTTTGGTATTTATACATATTTGAAATAATTAGTTAACATTCATCACCTCTCATCATTACAATTTATTTATTTTGTGATGGGAACTTTTGACATTTACCCTCTTAGCAAGTTTCAAATATCCAACACAGTATTGTTAACTGTTTTACTATACACTTAGCAGATAGGTTGAGGCCAGAGGAATTAAGTTCTCGCTGAGGAAGAGAGCTGACAGGCAAAAAGAAATCAGATCCTGGTCCTGTGGCTTTAAGCCCAGGGTCAGGCTGTGCCTCAACTGTAGAGTTATGAGCATCAACAAGATCTCTTTAAGCCTATCTGAGCTGGGGTTAGTAACCCACAATACCAAGAGTCCAAACTAATAAAATATGGGAATTACATAAATCTTTCATGAAATGAAATCTATTTGTAGCCTGCAACAACCAGTTTTTAATATGGTAAGCAAAAATAATCCCTCAGGGATGAAATTATCTAGCTAGTAATTTATAAAGGTACTTTTTAATCTTTTCATGAGTGTGGGGGAAGGAATAGACAGTAAAGAGAAACAGATACTGGAAATCTCTGTGAGCATATCCTACCACAGCTTCTGTACTAGAGTGGCAAAAAATAGTATTTCCATTTAGTTTGGCTTTTGGAGAACTTAGTATGGTGTGTTGTATCTAAAAATTACTGTTGATATACAGCAAAACAACCACCACATATTTAAAGAAATCCAGTAACTGTGTTTAACCCCGACTTCTAGAGGACCTGAATTAACTGCTTTCAGACCAGTATCTTCAAAAAGTTCTCAACAAAGTATTATGAGACAAATGTGCTACCTTCTTTCCCAATTTTCTCTAAATCTTACTGAAGCTGATTTGATGAAGCGTAAAATTCTCTTCAGTCTTAGTTATAAATTATTATAACTAAAATTTATAATTTCTCAAGTACTTATGTACCAGGGTTGGTGGCAAAATGCTTCTTACACATTTACTCATTTAATTTCTAGTTCTTTCTTGCTTCTTTTAGCAGGGCTTTATTTTAAAGTACCAAAAGAAATGTTATAAATAACACTTTTCAGAGTATGGCCATAAAATGGTAGGTAAGCTTGGGATTAATGCTGGTGTCATTTTATTTTATTTTTTTTTATCCTTACCCAAGAACATTTTTGCATTTATCTTTAGACAGAGCAGGAGAGGTAGAAACATCAATGTGAGAGAGACACATCAAGTGGCTGCCACCCACACGACCTCAACTGGAGCTGGGGACACACTGCAACCAAGGTATGTGCCCCTAGCGGTAACTAAACCTGGGACTCTGGTCCGCGGGCCGACGCCTTATTTCATTAAGGTTTCTTGTCTCCCAATATTTGCAGGTCCTGTCTCGTACAGCTAAATGGTTGCAACTGGTGAGTTAATTACTGAGGCTGGATTCTGAACTCCGTCTAAGAGTTTATAATAGCAAAGACAAAACACTGGAAAACTCCAGATTTACCATGATCTCAGAAACTAGATGACTTGGAGAACCCTTACTTAAAGCAAACTACCTCTAACAGTCGTCTCTGTACGTACTACAGAAAAAAAAAAAGTTTACAAATTTCAAATCAAACTGTTACTAGTCCACAACATTTTCTATATCATTAAGTACAATGCTTCTTTCAGCTAATTTTTTCACACCAAACTATTCTTTTTATTTTATTTTATTTATTTATTTATTTTTTGTTCAGGTAGAGTGGGAGGGAGAGAGAGGAACAGAGAGAGAGAGAGAAACATCGATGTGAAAGGGACACATCGAGTGGCTGCCACCCGCACAACCGACCAGGGCTGGGGTCAAACTGCAACCTAGGTACGCGCCCTTAGCGGGAACCGAACCCGGGTCTCTCAGGACCGCAGACCGATGCTCTAACTGCTGAGCCAAACCGGCCAGGGCCAAACTATTCTTTTTAAATTTATTTTTAGAGACAGAGAAACACTGATTTGTTGTTCCATTTATTTATGCATTCATTGATTAATTCTTGTATGTGCCCTGACCAGAGGATCGAATCTGCAACCTTGTGTATTAGGATGATGGTCTAAGTGAGCTACCCAGCCGGGACCACTCACAGCAAACTACTCTTGATGAAGGAGACTGTGTTGTTTTATAGTCTAGCCCAAGCTCCTTACCCATCACCAACTGGTAACAGTTTGTAGTTTTGTCCCTGAGGCCAAACAAAATTTAAATAAATTAACCAAATACTTAGCTAAAACAGTCACATAGTAAAGGAAAACGCAGTAAAAATTAACAATTGACCTCACCTTCGACAGAAGCAATTTCACACAGGAAACGTGACCTTCATAGACAGCAGACAGAAGGGGGGTAATATGATGTTTATCTGGAGCCTGTGAAATAATAAACAGATAAACCATCTTATCCATTTTTCATTTCTTCTTTCTAGATCTGATTACGGAACACTTGTGAATATTTTTAAAGTCAATGTTTACCTATTTGCCTTTCTATATAAAATCACTTCACAGCTACAAGTCTAGCCTCTGGAGAACTGCCCTCTAGGGGCCCTGGCCACAAGCAAGGTTTCTCCTTGGGAGTCAGCAGTGAAGTAGAGGGAGCAGGGCTTGGACTGCAGCTCAGATCTCGGCTCTGCCACTTACTGTGTGAGTAGTGGGGAGCCTCTCCTCCCCACTAGTATAGAGATGTCAGTGAGGTCCCTGAAAGGAATAACACAGCTAATGAAAAGGTAAGACTGCCACAGCTGGATCAAATGACTTGGTGTCCCCTGAAATGTGAAAAGTTCATCTCACTTGCTGTCATGGTTACTTAAAACAATTTTCTAAAACTCTGAAATGCAGAAGCCACAAAGCCAAAAGTCAGGAGATGACTTCTCCTGTCTGACCACTTTTCTCTGTCGGCAAATGCATCTTAGATTATCAGATGACTGCAGGGTCCTACGATCCACTGGGTGACAGCATCTCCTACCTACAGGCAGTGCTAACTCTCCAGTTTCCTTAGAACTTGAAAAGCAACAGACAAGGAAAATATCCTGACCCTCAGCTTGAAAGTCAGTTTGTTCTGCTTATTCTTTAACTTACCAACTACATGTTTCTAAATTACAGAAAATCTGGTATAATTTCAGACTGTATTGCTTAAAATGAGGTTTTCACAATAACTATTTTACGTATCTATTAAACAATTACCCAAAGCATACAACAGAAAATTTTTTTCTAGAATGACAATGTTCTTTACATACATTAATATCTGCTCCTTTCAGCAGCAGAAATTCCAGGATTTCAAGCTGCCCACAATCTGCCGCATAATGAAGAGGTTTCCTTCCACCTTCTAGTGTCCGATTGACATCTTCTCCCTTATTAAAAGAAGCCAAATGAAAACAATATTTATGTGGATGGTAGATTGAAGGAGAAAAGGTACTTCATATTTTTATTTTCTTAAAGCTCTAAGAGTTTCATGAAATTATTGCATTTCTTGCAAAGTGAAGTAATCAAAAGCCTGAAATGAAATTCTTCATAATTAGCACAAAGTATGACTGTAATTGAAACCATGATTAGTCAAGCTGGAAACAATAAGTAATAATGCTAAATGTAATGAAATATATTACTGTGCTCTATTTCTAAGAAGTTCAATCAGCATAATGTCAAAAGGTGGGTCATATGAGACTGATGAGCTCAAATACTGACTTTTACACAGATCACATGACATGTATTTTAATTCTTCAAAGAAAGCATCACTACTTTGATAGACTCACACAGCATTATCGGCTATTAAGAATTCATCTCATTCAACATTTACTAGAGTCCTATTGTATGGTAGGTAGGCACTGTACACAGGGGACAATGATGAGCAAAATCAGACAGGGCTTCTGATTGCATGGAGCTTACCATCTAGTATAATCACATTTGAACACATTTCACAATATAAATTCTATGAAGGAAAAGGACTCAGTGCTACATAAATACTTTTTTGTTGTTGTTGTTAACCCTCACCCGAGGATATTTTTCCAGTTATTTTTAGAGAGACACATCAGTTGGTTGCCTCTTGCATGCACCCCGACCTGGGCCAAGGATGCAAACCCGTGACCCTTTGGTGTGTGGGCCAACACTCTAACCACTGAACCACACCAGCCAGGGCTTTGCTACACAAATGCTTTTCAGAAGAACATGACAATCTTGGTGATGGACAGGGGGTAGGTGGTATCAGAAAATAAACTTAAGGTCTCAAAAAATAGTTTTCATTCACTGAGGACTAACAGATTCTAACAATAATAAATATAATTTATTTGCTGACCAGCTACTGCAGGTTTGGGCTACATGCATTCTCTCTAATCTTTAAATAATTGTAAAAGGAGAAAATCTCCATTTAACATATGAAAAAAGTCTAAAGCTGAAAGAGGTTAAATACCATTTTAATGTGGCTTAGTTAGTAACAGAGTAGAAGTCTAAAGCCAAAAACTACCACATGGCCTCCAATTCAGTATTTGCCTCTTTACAGAATAGAAAAATGTCTGAAAGAATTTTTCTTAACTACTGTATTATCTACCTAGCTTGGTTTGGCCAACTCATCAAGCCATATCCCAAACTGAGATATCCAGAGCTCTATCACTCTATAGCCATGATGAGCTGTTCTTTCAAATATACTTTATATGGACAGGGAAGGAAGGTGTATGACATGCTTAAGATCACTGGAGACTTAGTGTGGGACCAAGACTATTCAGACTATTTGCTGAATCTTAGTTTCCTTATCTGTAAAAATAGGAATGAAAATACTTATATCTCATAGGGTTTTAGTGTGTATCATTAAAGGCGATAATTATGCAAACTATACAACACAGTGCCTTACACAGGGTAAAACGTAAAAGATTAACTGATTTCTGTGGATCCCTGATGCTGATTTATACTGGTTTTAAAAGACTATCCAAACTTGGGTGAAGGCAGATTTCTGCATAACAGATGAAATGTAAACAAAGATATGATTGAAGGTAATCTACTTTAGAAACAAATTTAAATAATAAAAGCAATTTGGTATACCACCTTAGTCTTTATTCACAACTGTGAAAATGTGAAGCTCTCAAGTGAAGACAGATCTTAGATAATTCAGATAAAGCAAAGAAATACCTGAGTGTGCCATCAATAGGATAGCTTTGTCAAAAAGGTATTTTCTTAAAAATCCGACAGCTTCCTTCTCTACTTAGTACAAGCATGCAAATGTATACAAAACGAAGCTGTTGTGTTTAAACTTTCTCCTTTATCCCCGCGGACAAAAAATGACAGCACTGGAAAGGCTTTAAGTTACTGACAGGAAAGAAAGGACCCTCTTCAGCAGGGCCTTAGCAAATGCTGTACTGATGGGAAAATCTATAGTACTAAATGCCTGTATTGGAAAAGGAGAAAGGTCTCAAATAAATGATCTTTGTACTTTCAGGAACTAGGAAAAAAAGGTATATGGAATTCTCTGCACCTTCTGCTCCATATTGTTGTGAACTAAAATGCATTACTCTACGCTGATTCTAAAACAGGACAAAGATGTTATAAGAAAAGAACACCAATTCTGAATAAAATTTAGGTAAACTGAATCTAACTATATATATATATATGAATAATATACAATGGCCAAGTCAGATTTATCCTAGGAATACAGGCTGGTTAAATATTTGAAATGTAGTCAATATAATCCACCATTTTAACAAACTAAAAATAAACAAACATCATATGATCATCTCAGTAGATGAGAAAGCATCTGACAGAATCTAACACCTATTCCTTTTAGAAACTCAGCAAAGTAGAAAAAGAAGGAAACTTCTTTGGCCTAATAAGGACTTTTACAACTAACATCATACTTGACTGGTGAAAGATTAAATGTTTTTCATCTAAAAATCAGGAACAAGACGAGATATCTGTTCTTACCCCTTTAGTCAATGTTGTACTGAAGATTCTAGCCCGTGCAATTAGGCAAGAAAAAAATTAAAAACGGGGGCATCCATTTTGAAAGGGAAGAAGTAAAATTGTCTTTGCAAATGACATGATCGTCCATGTAGAAAATTCAAAGGAATCTACCAAAAAGCTACTAGAACTATTAAGTAACTTTAGCAATGTTGTAGGACAAAAGATTAATATACAAAAATCAAATGCATTTTATACTAGCAATGAATAACTAAATCCAAGCTAAAAACAGTATTTACAATAGTATTAAAAATTATAAGACAGTTTAATGTGAAATACCTGTACACTGAAAACTAAACATTGTTGAGAGAAATTAGAGAGGACCTAAACAGAGAAACATAGCATGTTCGTAGGTTGAAAAATTTAGTACTGTAAAGATGTCAATTCTCCCCAAATTGATGTACAGATTCAATGCAATACCAGTCAAAGGCCCAGGAGATATATATATTTTTTAAGACATTAATACACTGACCCTAAATCTCACATAGAAAAAAAACAATCTAGAATAGCCAAAACAACTTTGGGGGGAAAAACACGTTGGAGGGCCAACACAACCTAATTTCAAGAACTATTAAAAATTTCAGTAATCAAAAAAATGTGGCATGGGCATAAAATTATAAAATAGTCAAACTAATTTATAGTGAAGGCAGATCCTGGGAGGGAAGGGCAATAGGAGGGAGGGTCTATGAAGAGGCACTTTCATGGGATAAGAGAAGATCAATGTGAACCCTTACTAGCTGGGTGAACTTCAGAGATGAAAACAACCGTCTGAAATAAACCTTCCAACTGGTATCCCAACTTCCAGCCCCATTTTGCCCACTCCATTCTTGACTCTGCAGCTACAGGGATCTTTCCAAAACACAAAATGTGGTTGGCATCATTGCCTTTTTAAAAGTACTTTGGCCTGGAGAGGTAGATCTGTTAGTTAGAATGTCATCCCAATATACCACGGTTGCGAGTTTGATCTCTGGTCAGGGCACATTCAAGAAGCAACCAATAAATGCATAACTAAGTGATACAACAAATACACGTGTCTCTCTCTCTCTCTCTCTCATCAACCAATACAAAAATTTTAAAGTAGTTTGAGGACTGACTATCCATTGTTCCTAGAGGATACAGTTTAATCAACATAGTTTAGCATAGCTTAGGGGATCTGGAATGACCTAGCCCTAGAGGACCTTTCCAACTTCCATTCTCATAGCATTCCTCCTCCCCACTGCCCTTTGTTTAGCTAATTTCTACTAATCCTTCAGAATCAAGCTATAATAAAACTTCCCCTGGAAAGTCATCTCTAACCACCTCAACTTAGAGAAATGTGACCCTCTGTATTCAAAGTACTTTGTACTAACACAAAACATTCTACTCAAACTGCCTGTAGCTATATCCTCTATGAACACAGGTCAGGTACCATGTTTCCATTATTTACTTTTGTATTTACAGTGCCTAGCATAGTTTGTGACACATAGTAAACATTTCTGTAATAGAAGCTTTTGATTGAGCAAATGGTGAAGTTGCTCAAGCCACAGACTTGGAAGTTAAGTCATACATGAGATCTTCCATTTCAACCAAACACTGTTATCTAGTAATAGCAGTAGTAACTTGAGAGCAATGATGTTTACCAATGTAGGGAGTTTGAATGACAATTTCAGCAGGTTTTCAATAGTCTGGATACATAGTAACTTCAGCGGTAGTGGTGAAATAGGAAAGAAAGATAATGCTCTATATAGTTCCTTTCTCCTTACCTTCCCTCCACCCATATTCTAAGCATAAGTAACCAGAGAGGAAGTTAGACACCTATAATCTTGATTCTAACTTCATGAAACATTACCAGTTAAAGAAAAACCTAATCCTAATTTTGTCTCCCAGATTCTGGGGCTAGGGAAGAGAAATTTTCTACATGATTTCAACCGGTCCCTTAGCATTGCATGACAATCTAACCATGTTTCCCTTTTTATTTTGCTCTTCCACATTCCATGGAGACTATTTAAATCTCTTCTATTATTTATAAACCTTCAACTTCTCTATCTCCTCCTACACTTTCTTTCTCAGCAGTTAACTTCATATCCTTCTTTTCACAGAACACTGCCTTCAGACATAAACTCCCTCAGAAACTTCTCTCTACCACACCTTCATCTAAAGCCAATCTCTCACCTATATGTTTTGGATATTATCCTTTCTTTTTCTTAGAAAACTTACTCCTTTATTTCTTTTCTTGCCCGTGTTTTCAACTTTGTCTGTTCTACTGGCTCACTCTCATTAGCATATGCTATTCACAACTCTTCCATTAAAAGGCAAACAGCAACACAAGAACCTCTCCTCGGACCTGACATCCTCCGGACACTGTTTTCTTTTCATGGCTAAATTTTCTGAAAAAGCACTGTTTGTATTTGCTATCTAAAATTTCTTACCT